ACCATAGTAAAGCTAACGAATCAAGATATATAGTGATTTAGTTATTTCAAGTTATTTCATTCTTGAAGCATGTATCTATGCTGTTTGTATGTATTCATATTTTGGTAAATGTTGGAAACCAGTAGTAATAACTCAAAAGAGTTGGAACACAATGTTATCAAGGTTTAATTACCATTATCACTTCATTTTATTCGTATTTTAGCTATCAAGCTAATTGCTTAGCATTTTTTTGGCCGGAATCGAGGGAGATTGCCTCGGAAACAGCTTCAATAAGAATGTTTCCATGAATCCAATAAACGGTTGGCCAAGAGGAATCTGCCGTCGTCTTATAATGGGATCGACCTTCGGATCTCTTAATCGCACAATTTAACACGAAATGGAAATGAGCTCAGCAATTATAGCCCAAGACATTCCTTAAAATCCAACTTTTATTCTCATATAAGCTTAACGAAGTTTGTAACATGAGTTCCAGCTCGAATATCCTCCGCCATGAAGGTAACTCTTGACCAGATCTGAAGGCGAGAATCAGTAGTGTGAATGTCTCAGTAAAATCTACTATCATCAGACCTTCGCCAATCTCTTCATCACACACTTTCACACGAACGGAAAGTCATTAAAACATATGCAAGATATCTGCATAAAAACGAGCTTTTCAGGAACCGCTTTTCGTCTCTTTGACTAATATTTCCTTTTAAGTGTGTGATTCATATACTGTGACGATGCAGGCTGTGTATGCTGCTGTTTGGTGCCACAGCGACGTTCAGGTCGACACAATCATCAAGACAGCTTTGTTTGGCTCCGGTGGTCCGAGTGAGCAGGCTTGGGGCCAGCAAGTGTGAGAGGCTCAAGGGCTTGCCGACATGAGAATTGGGGCCAAGAGAAATCCCACCTAAAATGTCATGTCACTTCATATGCAGGCGTGTGCACGTGCAGGTCCGGACGCCAAGTTCAACTGGGCCGGATGAGAAAGTCGTGTAAACACGAGACTGAAGAGGAGTCCGGAGAGGAAAGGGCAGAGGAGCGGGCCGGAAAGGTGAAAAGTGTGGGAGTGTGAAAGTGTTGGCATACTCAACAGCCCCATCATGCGGACTATTGCGAATATTGGCATGTTTACTCAGTAGACCAATTCGGCCCATAAAGTACAGATACGATGGTGTGAGAAGAAATCGAAACTATCGGGTTCGTCCCTCTGCCATTCCCACCTTAAGTCCGTTGGCCCGGACCTCGAGACTCGCCTGAGAGACGAAAATGAAATCAAGGCTTGGTCGTCTCTCAAAACAGGCAAAGTGCAAGTTCGTGGCTGCTGCCCTTTACTTGAATTAGTGTTGCCCGTGGGCATATATTCTGAAAATGTGAATAAATGCGCGGGTGCGTTGCTGTGACAAGCGTGCGTGCGTGCGTGTGTATATATGCGTGTGTATGTGTATGCTTGTGTGCTTGCGTCTGTGTACACGTATACATGTGAATT